TTTTTTTTTTTTTTTTTCTCTAGAATGGGAGATTTTGCAATAATTACCCTATCATGATATGTATTTTATGCTATTGATAAGGTTCTTATTAAAATGAACCCAATTTCGATGTAAAAATATTTCAAAACAAGATCTTGACCGATTAAGTCATATGATATCATAGATTTAGTATCGTTGTAGACAAACTATTTATATGTTAATATCGGATTATCGGTTAAATTCAAAAGGTTGATTTTAATTTTACATGCTATGAGAATTCATCAAACAATTTAAATAATCCAAAATTATTATAAAAAAATTCATTTTAAACCAACTGATTTTACATGCTATTAGGATGTATCAAACAATTAAATAATAATCATTAATATTGTAATCAAAAATATCAACTAGCGAAATATAAATAAAATTAAAGTCCTCTCTGGAAATTAAAAGTTAGTTTTTTTAATTATTATATTTTTAAAGATTAATAATCGTAAAAAATTTCTCATGAAGATTCTTACTTTAAAATCATGATATTGACATCTTCGTTTGTCAAAATCCGCTTAACGAAAATAAAATTATCGCTCAAAGATCATTCCTGTATTCCTACTACATAGCGTGAATTTTTTATTACTTAACAATAAAAAGTTTATTTTCTTGATTTGATATTTTCAATGACTCATATCAGAATTGTCTTTTTTTCATAATTTATTTCATGATATATACTGTATATTTTTTTGTCGCAACATCGCTCTTTTAGTATAAAGTCGCGTAATTAGTGATAAAGCTTTCGATTGTATATAGTTGTATATATAATTTTTATTTCCCAATAATTTGACAATATATATATATTTTTGTCACAGGTTGAATTCGGGCTTATTGATATTCAGTATAAAATTCACTTATCAAATAAATTTACTTATCGAATCTTTAAAAGTCAATATTAAAAAAAAAACTTGCCGTTGAAGGTTTTCTTACCTACTCATAAAATTTTTAGAAGTAATTTTCACTCATATTTTCTAAGTTGGCGATATATCGAAAAATCATTGAATTTCAAAATATTTCTTTTTTTTTTTACGTATCTGGACTTGGATATATATATATCGGTATACGTTATAATACGTAAAAAAGATATTTAGTTTTTTTATTATACAAATGGAGATACAAATTATACGTTACTGAAATAATTTTTTAATTTCGGACTAATTCGGCTTTGTGGCATAACTCCACAGTCCACAGTGTGTAAACGTAATCATCTGAAATTTGTCAGAAGATTTCAGAGAGCGTAAAGAAGTTCTTAAATTAATTTCGACCTTATTGGCAACAATTTCAGCCAGGTTTGTGTATATTTCGGACATATAAAGTTAATTAATGGGACGAAGGAAATAAGCTTAGCCGAATTTGTTGCCAATAAGACCGAAATTATCTGAGAATTTCTCTATATTCTCTGATTTCTGGCAAAAATTTCTGCCAAGTTTCAGTTGGCTACTCTCCTACACTTTGGAGTTATGCCACAAAGCCGAAATTGGTCCGAAATTAAAAAATTATTTCGGCAACATGTATAATACAAATCATCATTCAATGGTTTAACCTACGAATAAATAAAATTTAATCTGATCATTATAATTTTATAATCTTTGAGATCTTTGACGCTTCTCGGTCAATTCTTTCATGTATATATATATATATATATATCGAAAACAAATTTCAGAATTTTATCAAGAGGACATACCCCTTATTATCCAAGCTCTTAAAAAATAATAATAATAATTTATTTTAAGAAAAAAATGAAAAAATGAATATATAACTATACGTTACTAACAGATATCAGATTTTACACTATCACATGCCCTATAAAAAATATTGTCCAAACATTGTTCGGTTTTTTGTTCGGAAAATCGACCCCGTCCGAACATTTACTTGACATTTATTGGACATTCATCATGATATTGTACGTTTTTTATGTGGTTAAAAATTCTCAATCTCCGCATCTTGTATTAAATTTTAACAAATATTGTATAATAGCGTGCGAGTGTCCGGAAAATTGACACCATTCCGAATATTTATCGGACAAACATTTTTTATAGGGTATGTAAACATTTATTTATCAAGTATCAACGAAATCAAGCAAAATAATCAGGTATCCGGACTTTTCGCCGAAGTCCGTTTCACCGAAACCCATTTCGCCGCCGAAGGGATGTTTTACCGAAGTGCAATTTTCCCGAATGGATACTTTACCGAATGGCCATTTTGCTGAAGGACATTTCGCCGAAGCCATTTTGGTGAAGGGGCATTTTGCCGAATATATGAAATTTTTTTTCTTTTTTTAGAGAAGACAAACGAATCTATTTTAAATCGCGTTTGTTTATTTTTAATTAAAAAAAAAATTAGTTTTATTTGACGGAAAAATGAAATAGTTAGAGAATTTGTACTTTGAAAATTTTTATTTTCTTTGTATCGAATTTATCGAATTTTTAATGATTAAATTAATCAACAACATTTCTGGCGAAATGTCCTTCGACGAAATGGACGTTTCGGGGGAAAGGATTCTGCGAAATGTCCATTCGACGAAATGTCCATTCGGTGAAACTTCTCTTCAGCAAAATGGGTTCGGCGAAATGGGTTCGGCGAAATAGACTTACCGTAACTCGATCGAGATTTATCAAGTTACTACCAGCGGCAGTCAATCATCTTAATCATATTCAAGATAATGTCTGTTAATAATTTTGATTTCTAGAAATATCAAACAATTACGTACCATCATTTATACATTCACTCACGTAATATTAAATTAATTTTTCCATTATTTCGCACATCATTTATCTTTTCTATCACCATCTTTAATCATTTTATTATTTCGCGCAATTGTTTCGCATAACCCGTTGGATTAGAATCGTTTTTTGATAAATTAGAAGCAAAACATGTACAAGTAATTCTTTCTATTCCACTTAAGTAGTGTTTTAAAAATGTAAGTAAATTCAAGGGTACTACATTATTGGACTATCAGCTATCGACATAATGTTCATTTACGTAGAGATTACAATTATGTTGTATTCTTCACTTTAAAGAACTACATGATTTACATGTGATTATTGAACGGAAAGATACCGATTAATGTTATGGTCAAATTCGAAATGATTAGTAAGGGTCAAGGCGTTATGTTCTTATGAATATTACAACTACTTCGGTTGAACTATTATATAATCCATGCTCAAACTGATTATCGGTAAAAAAAGAACTCATCGGTCGGCCTGCGCAAAATGGGTTATACTTGGAATCATTGGACCAGGGTTTATTATTTGATACAAATGCTTTTGTTTATGTGTACTGTCATCTAATAAGGGAAGGAAATTGAGAAAAAGTTACTCTATTTAGATGATAAGTGATATTCCAATGATGGCGCAATGACGGTGTTCATCCTTAGGTGGTAATGGTTACGGTACATTACGCCGAAAGCCATTCCATTTCGCTGATTTGCCGAAGGGAAGTTTCGCCGAATCCATTTCATCGAATCGTTCATTTCGCCGAATTCCATCTCACCGAAAATGGTAGCGGTTAATATTTTTATAAAAAATGTTCATCGCGCAATGAAAATTATTTTTAGAGATCTTTTTTTTTTCCAGGATATTATCACATTAACATTCAAGTACTAACTGATATTAATTGTTAAGCAATAAACTAGGAAACGGGAACCGTTGTAAGTCCGGAGCGAGGTATAATAAATAAAGATGTAGCGATATTCTACTAATTAGCAGCATAACGCCTTGGAATTCCGGTAATTTTCTGCTGATNTGTGTATAAGAGACCAGCATAACGCCTTGGAATTCCTGGACAGAGAAACTCACGTGATTGAAAATTTACACGTTATTTCCATAGATCATCATAGTGCGTAGACATATATAGTCCTTCGCTTCGCTCCGGACAATAAAATAACTTTATTTTCCTGAGAACATTTAATATTCATGAAAAAGTCTAGAAAAGTTCTCTTATGTACTATTTAGTATAAAAGCGAAAGGAATAAATAATTTTTCGGCGAAATGTTCATTCGGCAAAATATCCATTCGGTAAAGTGGTTACGGCGAAATGGAATTCGATGAAATGGGTTTCGGCGAAACGTACTTTTGTTGAAATGTCCATTCGGTGAAACGTCCCTTCAGCGAACATCCCTTCGGCGGAATGGCTTCGGCGTAATGTCCTGATACCGGTGGTGAGTATATGGCTGGACATCATCTGTACATGCGCAGGGTGTACAGTACCTTCAATTTTGATAGATGCACCACCACCTACATGTGAGAAGACTATAGAGGATATAGAGTGGAATAGGTATACACTTGTTAGTATAGGAGGTATTATAATAGATAGAGTGCGAATGTCATACTTATTGAAACTTAACCTCCGCTTGGCTTTGTAAGAAGGCTAGTAAAAGGGACGGAAATATTAAGAACGACAGAAAAAGGGACGATGTTAATTATGTTAATTATCGGTATTTAAATAGTATTATAACGGAAGTATTACCTAAATTTATGAAAAAGGTGAGGTTGAGGCAATATAAGCATTAAATAAAAATTTACAATGAACTAATTTTTAGAAAAAGCCCTCGCCATAAATCTAATAAAGTAAAAATATATATACTGTATATAAAAAATTATTGGAAAATGGAATTTTTTTTTTAGATTACAAACTAAGATATTCTAATTTAATGCTTTAAATAATTCGTGATTAATTATCACTTATAATTAAATGTCTATGAATATAATCGTAATTAGTTATAATTATAACGATACCTTTAGAAGAGGATCCGTACAAAATCCCGAATGTCAAAATCCCGAATGGTACGAAATCCCGAAATATTGGCCAACATTAAGCATAATGCTGCCCGGTTCGGGATTTTCAGGATTTTGACATTCGGGATTTTGTACACCCCTTTAGAAGTCAATTTTGAATAAAGTGTTGGGTTAATTATCGCCTATATTCAAATTTCTATATTATTCCATTATTAAACTAAATTTAAAATAAAATTATATTATATTCATAGTGATAAGTTTTACTTACTAATATCGACCGGAATAATAAAATCATATTGCGTACTATCATAGATTTCTGAAAAAAATTAATTTACAAAAAAAAATGATTAAATACATCAAATTTTATACACCTTCTTGTTCCTCAGTTTATTAATTAAAGAATCAATAACGTAATTAAACTGTGTATACATTAAAACATTTATTTAATTGCTTACATTACCTTCAGTAGCATTTCTTGGTTCAGGTAATTATCATACATATGTACTTTGCTGATAAATTTAGTATTTGCGTAAAGGTTCTCCATTTCATATAATTGTATCTAAAGAATTGATGAGTCGTTAAATTAGTTTCGCTAATTTTTTCACGTGATATTATTTTATGCGATAATTTTCTAAAAAAGAGCAAAAAAGCATCTACTAACATCAAATTTTTCTTCACGCCATTAAATTTTTTTCTTTTGAATAACTTTTTTCGAGTACTGTATGAAAAAAAAACCTCTTTCAATCAGAAAATAATTAGTTAGTCCTTTTTTTTACGAATATTCTTAAACGGTGGTATAGTTGCGGTATTGGAAAAAATCAAATAAAAAAGGTTTATAAATCTTTGACGATTATTTACAAAACATTCTTACTTTGTTTAATAACGTTGAAAAATTTTGATACATTTAGTAAAAAAAGTACAAAAAATAAAAGAAAGAAATAAAGAAATAATACATACTAAAACTTAATTGGCTAGTGCTGTAAAAGTGATGTCGACGACATACAATTAAAGCATTACAAAAGGAAATCCCTATATGTAAGAATGTATACTTAAAATTTTTAAATCTTAATTTTTAATTTCTAATACATATTGACCTAAATATTTCCTCAAATGACATTTGAGATGCTCTTTTTGATCGAAGTTTAACACTAAATTCTCTTGTTCCATATTTTGTTGAAATTCAATTCCAAGAAAGTTTTTACTCAAACAATTATTAATCATGTGAGGAGAAACAATTTCACATGATATTTGATAAAACTGGTTATTATATTGTTGCTGATAATAGATGATATATTCATTTTCATTGGATTGAACGTTACTTTCTTTTGATAATTTATTTAATAGGTATTCAACGGTGTCGTTCGAGATTTCCTTGCAAATAACTCGATAATGATAACAATCATTTGGTGGCCGATAGTAAAAAGTAGTAGGATGAGTAAAAATAAGAGAAGGTTGATTGTTTTCCGAGTTAGAAATTTGAACTTGTGAATTCATATTCCGATAGCAGATTATTTTTATGCAATAAAGAATTTTTCATTCAAAATTTCCTTAAGAAGTAGTAAATTATGCAGATCGTACGAGTGACCGAAATTTTTTTTTTTTTTTTAAAGTAAAAGTATTCGAAAGAAAGGAAATTTTTAATGATATATATACTAGAAATCCAATATGCATGTTATGTAACAAATAACCATGCAATTACGCCAATTTATTAAAAAAGGAAATTGTTCAAAATTTCAAAAAAAAATAGGACGCGTTTATTCCATTTTATATGACTAATAAAAAAACAAAGCCGTGACAAATAGGCCTAGCAAATAGGATTTCACGTACAGTACACAAAAAGGTAAGGAAAAGGGTGTGATGAATATAAAATAGATAATGGACCTTGATTAGCATGGATCAACAGGCAGTTGTGAAACATCATAATTTAGATGACTGACACGTGACAATAAGCGTGTGACCCAAAAAATCTACACAACCGATAACCCTTAATAAATACAAACAAAATATCTACAAAAGTTCGATTTTACAATAAAATTTCATATAGAATTTCTAAGAAAATGAATATAGTCATAATTAAAATGATATTTAATCAAAATTAATAAAAAACGATGTGAAATTTTTTTTTTTAATAATCTACTGTAATAATCGCAATATTTTTTTTTAAAAAAAAATGTTGCGTTTGATAAAACTTTAATCCAGCAACACCATACCTGTTAAATAACTTATTTAATTTTAACTTAACCTTTAACTTGTTTGAAGCATTAAATATTTATTATAAAAAAAGGCATACGCAGTTAGATAGTTTCGTTCAAATTTAATACCTTAATCTAAATTCTAAATGTTCCAATATTTACAGAAAGACTTTATATAACTTTCCAAAACCCTTTAATTTACCAAAAATTCTAAATTATTTTAAATAACGTAATATAACGTAATAGTCAAAAAATTTAAAATTACTACAAAATTTTGTTAACAATATTAATGTTATTGATTATAATTATTAAATTATTATAAAAAGAAAGAGAGAAAATGGTATCTGTGAGTAGAAAAAAAATGTAAGAACCATAAAGTTTGAGTAAAAATGGAAGAAACATTAGTTATTGATTGTAATTTCAAACTTTAGACCGCACAATAGTTTTACCGATCTCCACTAAATCGAGACCCGGCTAAATACAGGTTTCACACATAATTGGCTTAACCTTTTTTGTAAAATTAAGTAGCATCTTTATTTTTACAAATAATGAAACAACAAGAAAATATTATAAGAATAAGAAATAATAAACGAATGAAAGTGCAGTAACATCTCTATAAAGAAATAATCATGGTAGAAAAATAACTCAAGGTAAAAAATCAAAAGATCTTTTGAAATTTTTGAAATATAGAAAATATGGATCCAGAAACCATACCACGTAAAAAAAGAATGATTAACTTGTATAATAATTAGTAAAATTCTTTACAATTTTACGTCTAATATAATTTTAAAAAAAAATAAGTGAAATTAATTATATTATAATGTAAGATTAAACGTTACATATAAAAATGTTAAAATATCGTATTAAAGATGATTAAAACATGAAAAATACTTATATTCCTTCGTAAAACATTGAAGTTTAGATTTTTTTCTAAGGTTTATTATAAGGCAATTTTGGAGTTTTATTAGCGTTTCGATAGTATAATAGTTGTAAAAAAAATATTTTTCATGATTACATAAAATAAGATTGTACCTAAAACAATTATTTATATTTCTCTCGTTTTCTTCATAATTTGCATTTGGTATCAAAATTTTAATTTATAAAATCTATTGATGCTAATTTTTCATTTCTGTAAGAGATTCATCAGCAAGAATAGTTTGTTTTAAACTTTTTTTCTTATCAAGATTATCATTAATGCTATTGCTCTATTAATTGCAGCAATAGCTAAAATGCTAAATTATATCGAATTTCAGCCATTTATCGATAATATAGTAAATGAAAACGTTTTTAAAATTATTTTAAAACTATTTACTAATTAAATATTATAACAAAATGTAACAAGCAATGCGGAAATTCTGCATAAGCAGGTTTAAATTTTTGATCAACGTCGATTATGTTTAAAGGTATAGCGTTAACGTCGGCATTTTGATAGAATAACGCGACGAAAATATAAGATTTCGATAATTAAAATGTAAAGTTAAATCATAGAATATTGGTATGCATGATAAGAATTTATTTGAAGGATCACTAATACAAAATTATGCTTTCATAATTCATGGCTATTTTTTATTTTTTTTTAAAAAAAGTATATATAATTGTAATTGTTGATCTAGCAAATAGGCCATCATATTTCTATTACCACAACTTATTTGTTGATAGAATGACAAGTAATAATAGAACTAAAGATTAAATTAAAGATGAGAACTGAATTACAAAATTAATAATCTTGTAGGTAACTTTGCTACTTTATTTCCAAATTCTAAGCGATAAGACTAAAATTATATTATATTAGAAATAAAATTGTACAAATCATTGTACATCCATATAACAATATTATCAATACTTCTTTTACTTTTTATTTCCAATTTTTCTAGTTTGTTAGATTCTTTCAATAACCGTGTAATATAACCAAGAATTTTTTTTACCCTTTTCTTTCTCCACATTTCCTTTTTATCATCCTTTTTCTTCTCCTCTCTCTCCCTCTCTCTCATCCTCTCTTTCGTCCTTTCTTTCTCCAATTTCACCCTTTATCACCTTTTCCCGTCCCTCTCACTCCATGGTCATGTTGGTGATCAGGTGGTAAAAAGTATTCTTTAAAAGATAACCATGTATATACTGCTGTATATAAAACTATAAATCGATTTTAATAGATTTTTTCCTAGCCTTTTATTAATTCATTAGATTACTTTTCATACATATACGCCCAAAAAAATTTATTCATTTAATAAATGATCGTGACCAAAATAATGTAATTGTCACATCGATTTTTATTATTATAATAATACAATAAATGATAAATGGTTTTGAATTTATACAATTTATTGAAAACTAGTATTGATATATTTATAACTATTTACATTATAGTGACGAAAAATAAACAAAACTTAAACGAAAATCGTCATGAGAAAGGGACGTTCGATAGACAACGCCAAAAAAGTGCCGTTCAATATTTCAGATCATTACCATACGTTATTTTGCACTTAGTAAATTATGATAGTACTTAGTTTAATACTTGTAAAATTAATATTGCTTAGTTGTATAATATATAATATATATATATGTATAGAATTGATATAATAAATAATATTTGCATAATATTAATCGTGTCGTGGTGAAAGAGATAGCTATCTTAATATATATATTATCATATACAGTAAGATTATGAAGTATATATAAGTAACTAAGAAAATAAATTTTTATTTAAAAAGGTCATACTTTTAAATAGTATTATATGCATCTAATAAAAAACTTTTTTAAGAATAAACGAATTTTTTAATTCACGGATTTCATTATTTTCTTGGTCAGTTAATAATTATGTTTATATTGTATTTGACGATAAACTTTCCTGAAGCGTTCTGTCACAAATAATACAGTAATATATTTTTAATATTTTTAATATTTATTTAACAGTTTTTGAATTTATCATTTACCATTTAAAAATTCAGCTTCTGGACACTCATCAGACCGAAATAAATAAAAATGTATAATCAATGTTAATGTAATATATTATATACCAGTACTTGAAATTTGAAAGGTGCATAAAAGTCTAGAGAATTGAAATGACGTATCGTTAAATTAGTTTCGCTAATTTTTCACGTGATATTATTTTACGGACGACAATTTCCGAAAAAACAGAAAAGTATTAACCTAAAATTTTTCTTCACTCTCGAATTTTTTCTTTCCGAAGATACTAGATACTTTTTTCGAGTAAATAGAATGAAAAGGCCCTATTTTCAAACAGAGAAAAGTGAATTGCTTAAAAAGAAATAATTTAGTCTTTTTTGACAATTATACTTAAACGTGGTATAGTGGCGGTATTGAAAAAAATTAAATAAAAAGGTTTATAGACCTTTGACGATTAGATACAAACATTCTCACTTTATTCAAAAACGTTGAAAAATTTTGATACATTTCGAGTTAGTAAAAAAAAATACAAAGATAAAAGAAATAAATAAAATAATACATACTAAAACTTAATTGGCTAATGCTGCAAAAAGTTATACTATTAAAGACATTAAAAAAGGGTATCCCTTATATACTTAATTTTTAATTTCTAATACGTATTGACTTAAATATTTCTTCAAATGACGTTCAAGATACTCTTTTTGACCTAAAGTCAACATTAAATGCTCTTGTTCCATGTTTTGTTGAAATTCAATTCCGAGAAAATTTTTACTTAAACAATTATTAATCACGAGAGGTGAAACAATTCCGCATGATACTTGATAAATCCGGTTATCATATTGTTGTTGATAATAGAAAATACATTCATTTTCATTGGATTGAACGTTACTTTCTTTTAATAATTTATTTAATTTATTTAATAAATACTCAACAGTGTCGTTTGAGATTTCCTCACAAATAACATGATAATGATAAAAATCATTTGGTGGCCGAAAGAAAAAGGTGGTAGGATGGGTGGAAATAAGAGTTGGTTGAGAGTTAGAAATTTGAACTTGCGGATTCATATTTCGGTAACTGATAATAAATTGTGTTAATAAAAACTATAAAGAATTTTTAAATGTTTGTCTCCGGTTTGTGAGGATATAAAATAACAATTTTAAATAATAAAGAAATAAATATGATAATTTGGAGCAGCCCGCAGCAAAAATTTCCTTAAGAAGCAATAATTTTGCAGATCGTACGAGCGAAAATAAATATTTTTTTTTTTTTGAAAGGAAAAAAAAAATTTGAAAGGGGAGGAGGAATTTTTAATGATTTATATTTATATTATAAATCCTATATGTAAATCATGCAATTATGCAGTTATGCAAGTTATTAAACAGGTAATTGAGTAATATATATGAGCTACTTATCAATACCCAAGTGACAAATAAGCATGGCAAATAGGATTACGAAAAAATCGAAAAAAATCACGAGAAAAGGGTGTGATATATGTGACAAATAGCATAGGTACAGCCAGCGCACAAAAGTTTTGTGCAACTTTTTAAAGAGTCCTTATAATCACGTGATTAATAATACGGAAATTTAAATAAATTGGTCCGGGAAACTCCGAAGTGTTACAAAATATTTCACAAGATTACGCCAATTATTACAAGAAAAATTTCTCGCCATTCAGAACAGGACATCCACATTCATCCGTTTTAGATTTGGAAACCACGTAATTTACCTAGGTTTTTATATCCGTAAATCCGCTACAGTACTACCTGCGCCACACCCGACGCCTTCGTTATGTCTAAGGATCGTTGGCGCTGCGGAGAACACTTCAAGACTGCCCGCTCATTGAGACATAGTACTAATACTCTACCCAAAGAACCAAGATTTTATCTAGATCAAATAAAGAAACTAGTCAAATCATCATTAAAGAATAATAGCAACGTCAAAGAAGTCCACTCCGATCGTCTCACACCGTTACGATTATACGATTAGAAAATATAATTTCGTACTGGGAGCCCGTAATCCTGAACTGAAACAAACTGTGGAACAAACACGACAAAAAGATGCTCGTAAAAGACGTCACTCGACTGTAGAACGACCATACTACAAAGAATACTCCAGGTTGCGATTCGATGTTATACGATCGCCTCCTGGGAGGGGCAATCAACACAGCCTTTAGTCTTCAAACAAATCCAACATGTACCGGAAAAATATAACTACTATAGTAGAATGGAAATTATTCCCGTCACGATGAGCTCACGGTTAATCCGAAAAACTTTATACGCCGATCGCGAGAAAAGTATTGGTTGCGCAGGGTCAAAAGCGCAATGAAAGAAAAAACCTTTGCTGCCTTTACCACCTCCCTTCGGAGGTTGGGTTTATACTAGCATAGGTGTAGTTTAGTAGCTTCTTTTGTAAGGTTTCAGTTCCCAATTTTGTATGACTCCCGTCGTTGTCTAAATTTATAAAAATAAAATAAAAAAATTAGTTCGAAGTGTAACGAAGGACTATATACTTCTATGCAAAGGTCACACAAAAATGTCCGTCTGTCCGCCAGCACGTGACTATGTACCACAAACCTTTGTTTCCGTTTCCTAGTTATATTATATATCGCTTTATTTTACAGTTGATTTAATAACATTTGTGTAAATAAAACATATAAATGCACTAATTATGCTTATATAATCACATCTTGCAATTCTTTGATAATGCCCAACATTTCCACATTCCCTACATCGACGTTGCTTGAAATTAAGTTTTGACTCAGATTTGAAACGCTTAGTACAAACTGGTCGACCTTACCACGGTGTACCTTAGGATTTTGTAAATTAATTTCAGGGTAAACGTTTTCTTTATCTATAATCTGTTAATCGATTTCATTGCTTATCATTATCATCTTCAGTAAAATCTTGAAGTAAATCGATAAGTTGTTGGGAATTTGACTTGTTTTATAATCATGTGATCATGATTGAGTAGGCTTTATATTATGGCAGCACGAAAATCACGTGTTGGTGCAGGACCCGCTCCCTATAATCAGCTGCCATGTGAACTGTTTACCGAAGAAATAAAGCCGTATTCCATGGATTTTTCCATAAGTGACCTTCTGCTCAAAAGCTGTTAAATTCTCTTCACGAAAATCCATTCTTTCTTGACATAAATATGAAACCAAAAAATTTTCGGATGTTTGGATTTTGTATACTTATCTGCAACAAGAAATGGTTCTAGTACATTTGTACAATACCATCGTGATGGTAAAAGCCGAATATGGAACTTTGCATTACTTGTAGCCAACATAGTGCCTATATACAAAATAATATAAAGACATGAACATAAGTGTGAATTATTTCGAATCCGTGTGATTGTTAGAGACGTTATGTTCTTATGAATATTACAATTTACATCTACTCCGATTGAACTGTTATATAATCCATGCTCAAACTGATAATCGGTAAAAAAAGAACTCATCGGTTGGCCAGCTTTGGAGTCATTGGATCAGGTTTTATTATTTGGTACCAAATGCTTTTTGTTTATGTGTACTGTCATCTAATAAGGGAAGGAAGTTAGAAAAGAGTGGGACATTGCTTAATATGATCATGATAATGATGACGCCATGACGGTGTTCATCCTCAGGCGGTATTCAATTTCGATAGGGTTACGGTACATTTTGCCGAAGCCATTTCGCCGAAAATGATAGAAATGATAGCGATTATCACTTTCATAAAAATATTAATCGCGCAATGAAAATAAAAAATTTTTTTTATTAATTTATTAAATTACATCAGGAACCTTAATAGATATTCTGATTTACTCGAATATACAAATGACAAATGTATAAAATAAAACTTAGATGTTGAATAATATCTTCGATTCTTGATTGTATTTACATTTTTTAGTTTCTATTTTACATTCTTTGCCACGTCACCTATTTTTGCAATAAAAAATAAAAATTAAATAAATGTTTAAACAAAAAATTCTAAATGTCTTTTCTTCTATGATAATATCACTTTAACATTCAAGTAACTGATATTAATTGTTACGTAATAACTTTATTTTCCTGAAAACGTTTGAATATTCACGAAAAAGTAATTATATTTCGTGTCTAATAACATATAATGCTTTATGCACAAAATATTTGTATAATACGTTTATTTATATACTGTATATATTTTTTTTTTTTAAAAAAAAAACAGATGATTGATTTCTTCAATTAGTTAAAAAATCAACAGAAAATCAAAAACTTCAAAATCATAAATGATAATGTTCAAATCTATTTCTGATCATAAAATTCACCATTCTAAGACTTCTTTCCATTCGGCGAAACGGCTTCCGGCGGAATGTCCTGATACTGTATAGAAGATATAGCTAGTAAGGGGGACGGGGAGGCGACAGAAAAAGGACAGTTTTAATTATGTTAATTATCTTGATTTAAGTAGTATTATAATTTATAACGGAAGTATTATCTAAATTTATGAAAAAGGTGCAAGTCTGTGAGATTGAGGCAATATATATATATTTTTTACCGTAAAGGCGTAAACTTCTATACCAATTGCTTTTATTACTTTAGCATTAAAAATAAAAATTTACAATGAACTAATTTCTAGAAGCGTGTATGACAGAAAAAACCCTCGCCGTAAATTTAATAAAGTAAAATAAAATACGCTTAATATATATATGAAAAATTATTAGAAAATGGAGTTTTTTTTCTTTAGATTACAAACTAAGATAGTTTAATTTAAATAATTCGTGATTAATTATCACTTTTAATTAAATGTCTAAGAATATAGTTATAATTTTAACAATACCTCAATTTTTGAATAAAGTGTTGGATTAATTATCGTCTGAATTCAAATTTTCTATAATATTCCGTTATTAGACTAATTTAAAAATTAAATTATATTATATTCATAGTGATAAAGTTTTACTTACTAATATCGACCAAAATCATATTGCGTACTATCATAGACTTTAAAAAAAAATTAATTCACAAAAAAAATGATTAAATACATCAAATTCTATATAACTTCTTGTTCCTCAGTCTATTAATTAAATAAAATAATCAATAACGTTAATTAAACTGTATATACATTTAGTATTTGCGTAAAGGTTCTCCATTTCATATAAACTAGTCGTTTCGCTAATTTTTTTCACGTGATATTATATAATTTTCTAATAAATAACGTCACATTTCTTTTCGCATCGTTGAATTTTTTATTTTAAAGATATTTTTTCGAGTACATGGGATGAAAAAAAAAACTTCTTTCAATTAGAAATAATTTAGTCTTTTTTTTTTACGAATATTCTTAAACGGTGGTATAGACCGTATAGTGACGGTATTGGAAAAATTAAAAATTAAATAAAAAGGTTTATGTCTTTGACGATTATTTTGCAAAACATTCTTACTTTATTTAATAACGTTGATACATTTAGTAAAAAAAAGTACAAATAAATAAATAAATAAATAAATAATACATACTAAAACTTAATTGGTTAATGCTGCAACGACGACATACTATTAAGGAAGAGGATATCTTAATATACTTCAAATCTTAATTTTTAATTTCTAATACATATTGACTTAAATATTTCTTCAAATAACATTTGAGATTCTCTTTTTGATTGAAATTTAACACTAAATTCTCTTGTTCCATATTTTGTTGAAATTCAATTCCAAGAAAGTTTTTACTCAAACAATTATTAATCACGAGAGGAGAAACAATTTCACATGATATATGATAAAACTGGTTATTATATTGTTGCTGATAATAGAAGATACTTTCATTTTCATTGGATTGAACGTTACTTTCTTTTGATGATTTATTTAATAGGTATATTCAACGGTGTCGTTTGAGATTTCCTTGCAAATAACACGATAATGATAACAATCATTTGGTGGCCGATAGAAAAAAGTAGTAGGATGAGTGAAAATAAGAGAAGGTTGATTGTTTTCCGAGTTAGAAATTTGAACTTGTGAGTTCATATTTCGATAGCTGATAATAATTATACAATCAAGAATTTTTAATATTAAACTCCGGCCGAAACTTATAAAATTTTCCTTAAGAAGTAGTAATTT